GTAAGATATGATGACAGCTAAATCTTACAAGACTCACATGCATGATTGGTAAGTCCGTGTCTCTTTCTTACACCTAGTCGAGTCGTCGATGATCGTTTCGCAAATGCATCTGTGTGCATGCAGCAGCTTGGCGCTGCGTGCACGCCTTGGCCCGGCCGGTCACCCTCGTTCTCTCAATCACGTTTAACTTTTTATTGCTTATCTAAATACGTGTCAGGAACGAATTTATGGACTGCATTGTGATGATATGCTAGGCCACCCCTAGGTGTCAACAGGCCAGCGCAAGAAAAATAACCCTCCTCTGATCATGCCCGTTGGATATGACTTACATCACGATCGTATAGGGCGTCCAAATCCAGTGAGTGCAAAGTAAATCTTGTTGCAGCTTTTGGGTCGTGCATGCAAATGCAATATTGTTGCAACTGGTTACATCAAGTCACTAGGTGTAGTCCAATCTTAAAAGAAAAAGTCACTAGGTAGGCCAGCCCAAAGAGAAGAGATGGGCAGAGCGAGAGGCTTCTTAAGAGGGAAACAAAGGCAAAGAGATTTTGAGGTCGTTTCTACAAAATTATGGCTGCACATTTCGAAAAAACAAAAACCAAAATTACTTTGCCCCTTGTGCGACTTCAGGTGCCACTATTGCAAATCACGTTTCTGGTGCAAGGAATTTGGACCTGGGCGAACCTGTGTCCCAGGTTTAGTTCAACCAAAGCGTTCTGGTGTGACAAGTTCATTGACCGCGAGTCTGCTATAGACATCGGCCTAGTGCAAGCTAGATGCCCCTTTGTCCGCAAGAGTGGCAAACCAGACATGGAAGGAAATGCAATCCCGTCTGATTGTGGCCACGTAGTGCAAATAGGCACTTATTGGCATCAGCATCACACTCGACGAACCTGACCTCGCCCCCATGGCCAATTTTGGATCCTTTGCACTCTTTGCCGGTGGCACCGAGTGAACCCTATAAAATCAGGGTAAAGGTGGAAGTCATGCAGATTCCTTAAAAAATCAAGAAAATGGGGGAGAATGAGTGAGTCTCGCCGTCTCTTGCAATATGAGGAGAGGGACGAGACAGAGGATAGCGTCATGGGGAGACCGTGAAACAAGAGAAGTGTCGAATGAGATAGGGCGTAAACCAGTTGACAAAGCATGGTTAGGGAAGATAAATGAAGAAGATAAATGAATGGTTCAATTGTATTAGGAGGTTAGTTGTACAAAAATAGGTGATTTATTTTAGTAAAAAACAATTTAGAGCGGATGCATTTTCTTAGTAGAACATGGGACTTTTATTCAGGAATAATGTTGAAATCCACACATATGAGATCATGTGTACTAAGCTAGACATGACGACCAACACCTAGAGAGGATCCGGAGTGAGAAGGGTTGGGTGAAAGTAGTTTAGGGCCGGATATTTAAAGTTGAGCCCGGGCTAGCGTAACCTGGTTGAAAAAAATCAAAAAAAAATACCAAAACAATTTTACGTTATATGAATGTTTTTTACAGGTAACATGTGTCTAACAGTGTGCACATGCTGATCAACAAACGACATTCATAGTGGTCTGTGAGGGGAAAAAATCGATCATCTAACATGCTTTATAAAAAGCATTTCTAGAGCATTGACTTTTTCTTTTGCGCACGGCAATACAGAACTCATTTAAAAATGTGCATGATAGTCAGAGCACATACATGTTTGCATATTGTAAAAAAAAAGAACTTTTCCCTCACAGACTTTTAATAATATGGCTGCATGCATCAACTAATGCAGAGACCGCAGGTATTCCTCCTTTTTAAAATAAGAAAGAACTTTTGAAATTGCTCTGCTATTCTTTTCGATTTTTTCCCAACCAATCCTTTAAAAACTTTTCCCTACCAGTTTGGGCGAAATCACTAGTTGAGGAGCGCTCCCCGCAACGATTTGTCGGGGAGCGCTCCGGGCTCGACAAGTGTCACATGCGTGGCGCTCGTGAGAATTTTCCGGGACGCTCCGAGCGCGACACTTGTCGCACTGAGGGGCACTTCCGTGATTTCCGGTTTTCGGTTTTTCTTTCTGTTTTTTCCTTTTTCACTTTAGTCATTATACTTTTAGTGTTTTGTAATACACTTTCGATCTGTTTCTCTCTGGTGTCGTTGAACCATCGCCACTGAATGTCCTTTCGTTGCCGTCGTCCCCGCCCGTCGCGCCCACCGCTCTTGTGGCCTGCTTACAGCGGCCCTTCTTTAACGTGGACGACGCTTCCCCGTTCGCACGATCGTCGTTCCCTACCGGTTGCATTCATCCCTGTTTCCTTTTTTTCACCTATTCGTTCCCATTATATTTCCGGGATATGGAGATTTATGGGGTAGTTACGGGTGGGGGCTTCCAATACTATCAGATGTCAACTTTCAACTTGGTTTGTGCAATTATTTCTTGATAATCATCGTGTTCTTTGCAGGTATGGGTTGTCCTTTTTGCCGTATGCCGAGTGGCCCTTGTACGTCTGTTGATTCTTCTGTAGACGTGTTCACTGTGGTTCTGGATCGGCGTTGTTTGACTCATGTTGTAAGAATAACATTTTATATTTCATCAATTTTTGGCACACACATGCTTATTTCTTTTGGTGTTGTTGTTGCTGTTTTGAATGGAAATTATTCTAGGTCTTCTTTTTTTGATTATGATCATTCATTTTGCAATATATTCCGTGCAGTGTTAGAGCTCATCTTGCTTGTTACATCGAGGAGTGTAAGGCTTTAGCCACAAGGAAGGGTGACAAAGATACTGATCTTGCTCCTCACTCTAGTGAGGGTTATTTGTATGGTGTTATGTTTAGTCATGGTCGGGTCAGGAGCAAATTTCATGGTTCTTTCTGGGAAGATTTGGTCATTGATTATGGTCTTCGTCATCGTGATAGAATGACCGTTAGGCTTTAGCGCTATGGAACGTTGATTGGTGTTGATTTTTATCGGGGTGGAAATATGTTGTCTCCTTTACACTACTAGGAAAAACCCTATAGACAGAATCTTAGCAGTAGCGCTCTCAAAAAGGACTGCTGCTGCTAATTAGCAGTAGCACGGGTGTGGAAAACCCGCTACTGACAAGTGTTTAGTAGTAGCGCGCTCGGTGTAACCCGCGCTGCTACAAATATCGACCGACAGTGCCCACCAAACTCCATTTAGCAGCAGCGCGGTGCCGCGAGCCGCGCTACTGCTATAGCTGTAGTAGTAGCGCAGTTTTTCTGAGGTCGCTGCTGCTAATTTTCAAATTGGGCACACTTTTCGTCTCGGTTAGCAGCAGCGCTTGTGCCCAAAGCGCGCTGCTGCTACTTTCTTAGCACTAGCGCGTTTTACGTCCCGCGCTACTGCTAATCCGCACCAACCCATCACCTTTTCCCCACCTGTCCTCCCCCTCCCCCTCCTCTCTTCCCTTTCCCCTACCTCCCACATCCTCCCACTCTCACTCTTCTTCTTCCTCAATACTTCTCCCCCATTACTCTCCCTCTTCTACCTACCTTTCTCTCTCTTCATTAGTCCTACCTAACTACACCACCTCCATTAATGCATCTCCTTTCTCTTTTTCCTTCCCCCTCCATTGGTTGAAGTTGTCTCCTCCCAAATTAGGTAGCTAGGTAGATGTAGCATTTAGTTAAGTGACCTATTTGCCCTCTAACTAGATCTATCTTTGTCAAGAAGAGCTTTGTGCACTTTTGATCTCCCTACATCATCATCTCCACCGTGCACTCGATCTGGAGATAGAGGTGATTAAAATTTCATGCTTTTGCAAAATGGAAATATGTTTATGTGTGTGTGATATGTTTATGGAAATTGTGTGTGTGGCATGAGTTGATGCCAAATTGTGCTTATGAGTTGCCTATGTTTTGCCGAAATGTCGATTTATTTCTGTTTCGGCGAATTCCGGGCAAACTCTAGATCTATATATGTCCTATTTTTAAAGAAGTTCATGCCGAATTTTTGTATGACTTTGATGCATGCACGCATTTTTATAATCAATTTGTTTATTATTACCATGCAGAGTTGAGATGGTCAGTGGAACGATGGTGGACAGGTGGTTGCAGTCGGCGGTGCAGGACATGAAAGAAAATAACCGGACAGAGGTTTTATGTCCGTGTCGAAAATCCAAAGGAATAGATTGGCTCGACCCCCATGACGATGATCGTGTCGAAGCCCTTTGACTTTGCACGGACGGGCTTTGACCAGTGGACCTCCCCACCCGGTTGTGTT